CAGGGGCTGCAGCCTAGCCGTTGCAGGCGACTCATGGCAGCCCAGCTCCAGGTTGAGCTGTTGTTCAGCATCTTAGCTGTAGAGGGCAGTGTCACTGACCCTAATATGTGGGATCCGAATCGGGGCCCTCTGGTGTCCCAAGCCAGCTCTTAACCATCACGCCACTCGGCCGGCCCCAGCACAGGGGTTCTTAACTCAGGTTCCTTGCATAGGCTCCAGAGACCTCTGAGAACCCGAAACTCTAGGCAAAATTTGGGGTGTAAATGTGCACTTTTCTGCAGAGAGGCTCTATATGTCTCATCTAATTCTCAGAGAGACCCATGGCCCCAGAAAAGACTAGAATCACTGAAAGCAGAAAGAACCCTTAGCTGAGAGTTCCAGTCTCACTTCTGTCCTGTCTCCATGACCCCCTCTGGGCCTCAGTTTTCCCACCTTTGTGGTAAAGGCACTGGACTCAGGGGTCACTTTGGACCCTTCCCACTACACAATTGCTCTTTGAACCCATGACATTATCTGGACTTCTTAGTGCTCATCATCTAATCATTTACAGCCTGACCTGGCCTCTCACCCTAATCAGAGCCAGTAATTCATTCTGGCTGCCTTGGGAATCTCACCTGAGGTGGGTGGGACTGGAGTAGGTGCACTTGGTTGAGTCTATGAACATCTTTAGCTCAGCATAGCTTGGAGGAGAACCTCCCACCTCACCCCTGAGACTCTTCTAGCCTCTCCTGTTGGCTAACTCATTCTCACACGTGGCTTTAACTGCTGGTGATCCATGCTGGACTCGCTGGCTCTCATTCCTGTACCACCTCTCAGCATCTCAGTCCCTCCTGGGAAACTGGCCTATCCCAGCTTTCACTGCTTGAACTCAATACCCTTTATTCCTGAGGGAGAGCTCCGACTTTGGCACCCACTTTAAATCCTTTCTCATTTCCCACCCCCTAATTTCCACATTCTTAATAGAAACCAAATTGAAAACTTGAAAATAGAGAGACTGAGCCTGAAAGGTCATCGCTCCCATTCTTCTTCCCAGAGCTTGACTTCTCCTAGGGTGGAGACCTGCTCTGATCCTCCCCTATCCCAACCCCTGCCAGGTTCATGTTCATCCTCATGATCATGCTGACTGCCTTCCTGTGTGGCCTCAACAACATGTATGTGCCCTACCAGGAGACAGAGCGGCTGGACAAGTATGCCAGGACAGGGGCAGGATGGGCAGGTGGGGGTCTGGGACCGTGCAGCTTGGAGCTTAGTGATCACCTGTTCCTTCCCCCCTCCTCCCTCATCTATTTTACCCAATAATTAATTATCTGGTTTGGTAAACCACTCCTTCACTGATTTACGCTCATTCATTCATTTATTCACTTATTCATTTACTCATGCATTCACTTTTCCCCAAACCTTTTTATTTTGAAAAATGTCAATCCTATGAAAAAGTAAAAAGCACAATGAATATCCATATACCGGTCACCTAGATTCACCAGTTGTTAATGCTCTTTTTTTTTTTTTTTGGCCTAATCTATTGCTCTTTTTATTTTTTCCGGAAACATTTAAAAGCAAGTTGCATGCCTCGTGATACTTCACCCCTAAATAGTTCAGGATGTCTCCTAAGATCATAACCACAAAACCATTATCACACTCAAAAAATTTAATATTGATTCTGCAATATTATCTATACTACACAGCCCTTATTCAAAGTTCCTCAGTTGCCCCAAAAAAAGTCTTTCTAGTTTTTTAAAAACCTGAGATCCAATCTGGGATCATGCATTGCATTTTGTTGTCATTATCTCTTTAGTCTCCTTTAATCTAGAGCACCCCCTCTACCTTTTCTTTGTTTTTCTTGACAAACAAATTTCTGGAAGACTGCAGACCAAGTTATATTGTAGAGAGTATTCCACAGTTGGGATGTACCTATTTCCTTATGACTGGATTCAAGCTAAGCAATTTGGGCAAGAACACAACCTAGTTGATGATGTATACTTTCCATCACTTCACATTGGGAGACATACGATGTTATTTTAGTCCATTGGAGAGGTAGTTAGGAGTATTTAAAGTTTGACAAGCAGAAGTACAACACATCAGATCAGCATTTAGAAAGAACACCTTAAATGCAATGTAGAGGATGGAATAACAAGAGAGAGACTGAGGTTAGAAACCAGTTGCAGAGGTTGTTGGAATAATCAAGGCCTGAACTGGTACTGAGATAAAGGGAATAAGACAGATTTGTGAATGAATACAACAGAAGGGAGAATGTCTGTGAGTGACTCATAGACATGCACTTTCTGCTGAGGGTAGAGAAGAAAGTTCAGGAATGGATTCCCGGAAGAGGTAATAACATTGGAGTTGCTACTACTGTGGCCCAAACCACCATCCTCTCTCACCCAAGCTACAGCAACAGTGTTTTAACTGGTCTCCATTCCTCCACTGTCTCACCCGCTTCCCTTCCATTCTACTCACAGCAGCCAACAGTGATCTCTTCAAATGTAATCAGATGGCACCCCTCTGCTTAGAACTGTTCATAGCTTCCTAATGCTCATAGGCCATGGTAAGGATTTTTGTTTCTCTCTTACAAGGTCCTGCATGACCTGGTTGGTCCCTACTTACTTTTCACAAGCCTCTGTCTCACAAACCTCTCTCTCCTTTGCCCTCCAAAACCAGCTGTGCTAGCCTTCTCTCAGTTCCTCAAATGCTCCCAAGGTCGCTCGCCTTGGGAATGCTCTTCACATCTCTTTCCCTTTCTTTCGCCTGGCTGATTCCCATGAATCCTTAAGGGCTCAGCTTGAATGCTTTTCAAAGAAGCTTTCCCCAGCTCCCAGATTAGGTCATAACATCTCGTGCTGTTTCTTCCACAAATAGCACTTACCACACTTTAAAAATGTTGGTACAATGAGTGTCCACCCTACCTCCCATCCCCACCCTAGAACGAAGGGTCTTTGAAGACAGGGACCATTCTTGTTTTGTTCATGACTATATCCTTAGCACCTATGGCACTACTATGTGCTCAATAAATACTGGTTGCCTGAAAGAATGAAAGCTGGAGTTCAGAAATTGCAAGTGTCTGTATGGGCTTCTGGAAGCAGAATGAATGCATTTGACTGGGTCCTGGAGGACTACATCTAGTTGACACTCAGGCCCCTCTCCCACCCCTCACATCCTACCCTTTGTCCCGACATGCCAATTTCAATGAGACCTTCCAGTTTCTGTTCTGGACCATGTTCGGCATGGAGGAGCACAGTGTGGTAGACATGCCTCAGTTTCTGGTACCTGAATTCGTGGGCCGGGCCCTCTATGGCATCTTTACCATTGTCATGGTCATTGTGCTGCTCAACATGCTCATTGCCATGATCACCAACTCCTTCCAGAAGATTGAGGTGCATGAACTGAGGCCAGCTTAGGCGGGGGGCAGGGAGGAAGGGATAGAGAGGAATAGGACACACGTTGTTGAGACATTCAGGGTCCTGCTCTGCCTCCACTATCATCTTGTTTTGTGACTTGAGGCAAGTTTTCCTGTCTAGGCCTCATTCTCATCTGTAAGACGAAGGTCTTAGTAATGCTATTAGTTTCCAGACACAGGTCTAGTGCTCTCTCCACTTTATGGCTGGGAGGAAGGGTGCATTGTGGAAAAGTAGGTGGGAACATGAGGAGAGGGAAGGAGATGGATAGGTTAGGGTTTGAGGCTGGAGAAATGTCTGGGCAGGAATTGGATGTCAGAAGGATGGAAGAGAGGAAAGGGGAAGACAGGCAGGGGAAATGTGGGTGATGGATAATGACGGAAATAAGAATGGGGAGAAGAAAGTGGTTGGCACACTGAAGAAGAAGAGACGTGAGGGTGGGGGAAAATAAGGCAGACTGAGTGGCCAGGAGGGCTGGGTACCAAAGTGGTCCTTGCAGAGCCCCCTACCTCCTGCCACAGGACGATGCCGATGTGGAATGGACGTTTGCTCGCTCCAAGCTCTACCTGTCCTACTTCCGAGAGGGCCTGACGCTGCCTGTGCCCTTCAACATCCTGCCCTCGCCCAAGGCTGTCTTCTACTTTCTCAGGTGATGACCTCAGAGCTCTCACTCCCAACTCCCAAACACCCAACACCACCACCCCAGCTCCTGCCCCCATTTCCCTAGACCCTGTCCTCTGACTAACCTTTTCCTGCCATCAAAATCTCTCGGGAGAATTTTCCTGTTCATTTGCTGTTGCTGCTCCTGCTCCAAAACCAAGACGCCAGACTATCCCCCAATATTCCCATCTTCGTAAGTACCTCATCTGCTTGGTGTTAGTCCTCCTCGCATTGGGCCTTCACCTGTATTGTCTGTTCCATCCGTTTGTCTGCACACCCCTGGTTTGTCTATCTTTCCAGGTGTGTTCCCCAGAAAGCCTTCCCAGTTCTTACTCTCTCACATGGCATGCCTTTCCCTCTTCCTGGTTCTGGCCATTCCCTAAATTTCCAACCCTGTGCCATCCAGCTTAAACAGAAGTCCATGCCACCTTCTTCTCATGCCACCAATACCCTGTAAGCTCCAGACAAACCTTTTTGCCCTAAACTGGGCCAAGGCATGGTTGAACATTTTTTTAAAAAGAAAGAAAGAAAAAAAAACATGTCAAGAAGCTGAGTAAAAAATGCCCCACAAATTGGGAGTCTCGAAAGCTGACAGAGGCCTGAGAAAGGAGGCCAGGACTCCAACGGGCTCACCTGCCTCTCATTATCTGCTGTCTAACCCAGACTGGCTTGGCATGGGAGCCCCTTCCTAATTCAGACCAGCAGTACTGCCAGGTCTGTAGGGGGTTCTATCTGTTCCCCTTAAAATATGTTACCTGAGGATCTCTCTAAGCCAGGGCCTCCAGGTCAGCTCTTTGAGGCCACAAGCCAACTCTGGAACTCTGAGGTCTCCAGATCCCCAGGTGAAGAATGCCTTTCCTTACCTAGTTGGTCAACAGTTTGTTCAACAAACACTTACACAGCACCCCTATACCGGAAATGAAGATATTCATAATGGTATTCCTTTGGGGTGCTAACTATTTAGAGTAGCAGAAGCAAATGGACTGTAATTATACAGGAAGACAAGCCTATGATAGAAAGAAGCACAGATGAGAGGTCCCAGACCCAGCCTCATGAATCAGAGAGCTTCCCAGAGACCTGGAGGGCAGAAAGGAATCCTGAAGGATAAACAGGAGGTTGATGGGCAGATATGGTGGAGAAGGGAGTTCTAGGCACAGGAAACTGTGTGTAAAAGCATGGAAAAAACACGACACAAGAAACTAAATGCCAAAGGTTCTCAGTTCTTACCACAGCCTGGCTCCAGGCTATCCTGCATGGACACCCCTGTCATCCTCCTGGGTCTCTGACTCCAAATTCTGGAATTACCACCCTTTTCCCCTGGCCACTTCCTGGCCCTGCCCAGGCTGCCTGATACATATTTGCAGACCATGTGTCAGGGCTGCTCCCACCCTAGGGTAAACAGCTTCTTCACCTGAAGTCGTACTCAGTTCTCTGGGCCTGTGCCCAGTCCTAGATGGGCAGTGTCACTGGGGGTCTCCTCAGTCCTCCACTGCACCTCCACTGAGGTTCCACCTTTCTTCCAGCTACCCCACCTCACTAGTCTGCTTTTTTGATGATTTAACCAGGTATCCCCTCCCAGTTATCCTGCATCTTCCAGAAATGGCCTCCAAAAGTTCTTATTCCTTATTTTATACAAGAAAAATGTTTTATAAACTCTAGCTAAAAAGGGTCCATCATTCTCTCATACTTCTGCCTGCCTGCCCCATCTCTGTGAATCCCATCTCTCTTTTTAAAATATTTAACAAAATGCTTTGCTTTTATATTACAAATATATGCTAACTATAAAATATTTAGAAAGAAGATAAAACTAGATAAACTAAAATAATTATTTCCTAAGTAGAGAGCCCAGGGACATACCAAACGGAAGGAGGCATGGTTACCATCTCTGTTTTAAATCGGGAGACATTCAGGCCTGAAGAAGTTGAGTAACTTGCCTACGTTAACATAGCTGCTAAGTGACTGAGCTGGGTTTTCAGCCTACGTCTTCTGAGACCAACCCTTTGCCTACTCTCTCTACCTCTGTTCTCTCCTTTATCTGCCCCATATGCTCTACTTGCCCTCCTGGTACTCTCCTGAGGCTTAAAACTGGCCCCAGGCCCATCATTCTGCATGACGATTTCCATCTTGTATGCATGAGCAGGTCTGTGTGGGTACCTCCCCACACCTCCTAGTTTCCCCTTCCACAGTGTTTGAACAACAGGGTTAACCTGGATTGACTCAACTCAAGAATACCAAGGTTGGATTGGTAGCAGGAGAGAGAGCTCAACTTTGCCCTGCTCAATATTTCTGTCTCTGCCCACTCCCACCTCCACCTCCCAACCCTCACCCCACCACCCAACTCCTGGCCTCCATCCTCTACCTTCCAGGACCACACCAGGGTCTAGGTGTGAGGCCTTCAGGGACAGAAAAGTCTGCACAGACTTGGCCTCCTTCCTTCAGTGCCTGGGGGAGGGAGCAGTGATTAGAGAAAGGCTGGGGTGGAGAATCTCTCTCACCCTCCTGTCTTCCCATCCCAGGCCAATCCTGGGGCAGGGGCAGGGCCTGGGGAGGGAGAGTGTGGATCCTACCGCCTTCGAGTCATCAAGGCCCTGGTACAGCGCTACATAGAGACTGCGCGGAGGGAGTTTGAGGAGACCCGTCGGAAAGGTTAGTTGCTCACCTCCAAGCTTTCCTCATGCCTGTTCCTGGCTCCACTGCAATAAACGTACCACACCGAGTCTCACACCCCTCATCCAGCCTGACGTCAGCTGTGGCCCCATCCTGTCCTGCCCTTGGAAGCCACAGCCTGCACAGTGGCCCCTTGACTCAATTACCCTCTGACCTATCAGACATTTATTCTGCTCATTTCATGTAATCCTTCATTCCTGCCTTCATTTATGTGTCCATTTATTCTCTCATTCACTCCCTTAGTCATTCACTCATTCACCCAACATTTTGCCATGTCCCCTTTGTTCCAGGCCTTGTCTTGGAGGGACTGTGTAGAGCAGGGACACAGAGGAAGCTTTCAGTCTGGTGAGGAAGAGAAACCATCTAACTAGGCAGACAGCACTTAGCTAACAGAGACATTAACTGCAGTGGGACCCAAATGAGAGAAAGGCCTATCATTTTGAGAGGTTCGTGGGAAGGCAGAAAAAATAGAGCACCAGGAGGAAGAGGAGGTGGAATTTGAATTGGGCACTGAGGATGGCTATGAGCTGGACAGGTGAAGATGAGGAAGAGGGCTAACAGGGCAGATGTACAAACCTCCATCCGCTAAACACTTTCCCATCCCTGGGGTTCCTGATCCCTTCCCTGGCCCACAAAACTTTCCTTTTTTGTGTCTTCTAAACTCACCACCAACGGCCTACTCAGATTCATCTGCCCCAGACTCGACCTGCCGCCTGATCTGATCCCTCCCCTCCCCCCACCCTGCCGCAGCCCAAAAGCCAGTTTCTCACTTCCTCCACTTCTCCTCCCTCAGGAATCCCAGGCATAATGTCCCCTGGGGTTCTGATGGGGGTAGAAGTGGCACAGGGAAGGTTCATCTTCTGAGAGATCTCCCATCAATAATCCCCCCAACCCTCCCGCAGACCTGGGCAACAGACTGACAGAGCTGACCAAGACTGTCTCTCGACTGCAAAGTGAAGTAGCCGATGTGAGACTGACTCTGGCGGAGGGGACACCCCGGCCCCCCTGCGGTGCCAGCATCCTCAGTTGCTACATCACTCGAGTACGCAACAGCTTCCAGAACCTGGGGCCCCCCATCCCTGAGACCCCAGAGCTGACAGTGCCAGGGATTGTGGGGACCCAAGTGGCTTCAGAAACAGGGCTTCAGGACCCTGGAGGGGCTGGGACTCCAGCTTCCAGTGAGCCTGGCCCTTCCTCTCCAGCTCATGTGCTAGTGCATAGGGAGCAGGAGTCAGAGGGGGCTGGGGACCTGCCCCAGGCGGAAGGTTTGGAAACCAAGGGGGGGTCCTGAGACAGTGAGAGGGTCCCTTCTTCTGTTGCTGAGCAGAGTAACCTAGAAGGTGGGGGGTCACTTAGTAGGAGCCTAGGCTGCTTTGCTTACCTCAATAAAGTTTCTGGTCAGGATGTCAGATGCCTCCAGAGTGTGTGAGAACCTCCGTCTCTTGATGTTTTCAGATCCCTTCTCTCCCTCCCTTCCTCCCCTGAAATGGACCCTTGTGGGAGCAGAGCACAGAGAAATGGCTTGCTCTGGGGTCCCAAGTATCTTGGGCTTAGGATCCTACCTTGAGTTCCTTCAAATCTTTGTAGAAAGCATTCTGGACTGGGAGGCAGGGTCCTTGGTTTCAGGACTAACGCTCTGAACTTGAGCAAGTTGCTTCCTTCCTTGGCTTTGCATTCCTCATGTGACGAATGGGCAGAGGAAGCCATCTGTGCCCTTCCTGCCTTCACGGTTGTTGTGAGGAACCTCTGGCTGTTAAAGCTTCTGGGTTTGCAAATTACAGTGTGTGACAGGGGTCGACACAAGAGACCATGTCTAGGAGTGATCAAGAAGTCATTCTTTTTAATCCCTCAGTCCTGTAAGGCCAGAGCAGGGCCAATGATCCTGTCTTATGGAATAAACCAATCATGTAATTTGATGTCTCCACACTGTAACACTATTTAATCAAGTGGCCATCACAGTACTACCCTTACGTGTCCCCGGGAGTCCCCAACACATAGTAGGGCTCCCTCCACCCTTCCATGGCCTCAGATTCCCCCACATCCTGGTTGGGGCGATGGCTGCTAAGGCTGGGTCTGAAACCACGTTCCTGCGTCTCAAGGCTGCTCGAAGCTCTCCTTCATATGAAGGTCACCAGTTCCTGGGACTCCTAAGTGGCAGACATTGGACTTTCAGGGCCCAGCTCCTGAGAGCTGGAATCCCCCAGGGGCCAAGAGCAGGGTCTTCCAGGAGAGCAGAGGGAAGGCCCCCTTGGAGAGTGAGTCTGGCTGCCCCCCTGCTGGAGAGAGAAGAAAAGAAAGTGAGGGGCCAGCTGGACTAGGAGGAGCAAAGCAGCCAAGGGAGAGGGCAAGAGGGTGACTCACGTGGTGCGGACACACATCCCCGACTCTTCTCCCCTGCAATAGACAGCACAGTGAGACCTCCATGTAGACAGACTCTCATACCCCAAGCTCCCCTTCCCACCAGGCTCTAGCACTGGCGTTCCCCTTCTCAATCCATCTTTCCCTTCCCCTAAATGCAAACTTCTGACTTTCTTTCCTCCTCCTATGGCCAGGAAATCTTCCCAGATTGCCTATCCATCCCTGCTCCCACCCCAGCCCCAGGCACTCCTGCGTTCTGTCCCTGCCTCAGCACAGATATGTCCTGTGGATCTTGTTAAGGCTGGGGCCTCCAGAGATCTGAAGCAGCACTCCTGTCACTTTCCTCTGCTTGCTGACCTTCTAAACCAGGTTCTTTTGGTGTATTAGACTCTATAGCAGATGGAGCCTTTCGAGGACATTTACAGAATCATTTGAAAATATTCACAGATCTGGAATACACTGATAGGGCCTTCTAAGAGCTGGCAGGACCTGAGTCACAGAGAACAATAACTTCAGCTGACTTCCAGCCCTCAACTTCCCCATTAGCCACATGGGTCTCCTGAAGGCCCTGGGGGTTGTGCAGGGACATCCTGGCTTATTTCACCCTCCCTGCCAGTCCTCCTTTCCTCATGCAGAGCTCACCACCCAGGTAGGCGCAGTTAAAGTGGCTGCAGGTCTGATTATAGCTCCAGAGAGTCACTTGGCTCCGGGCTCCATCCTGGGAGAACCTGGTGACCAAGAAGACTTCATGGGGAGGGATCAGCACCTCACGCTCCTCAGGAAAGACAGACAGGGCCTGGATAGGGGCCCCAAAGCAAGTCCTTAGGGAGAAGAAGGTAGCATTACCAAATCTGTGGGCCACTGCCTTATCCAGGGAGCTGGAGGCAAACTGGCCCAAGCGGACAGAGTCCCCCAGCCTCTTGGGTTCAAAGCGAAGGGTGCCTATGCCTCGGAACACCACCTCTCCAGGTCCCCTGCTGCAGCCCTTGCTCCGCTGCAGCAGCTGCAAGGCCTGGGTCAGGTAGAAATGCAGGGCCTTGAAGGGGAAGTGCCTCATGTAGGACTCCCGGGAGCCACCGCCTGTCCGCACCGCCTGGTTCAGCTCCATGTACAAGGTATTAGATGAGTTGGTGTAAACCATGACAGCAATTCCATGCTGGGATTTGAAGCCAGGGGGCAGAGTGAGCCCTCGTTGCTTGTGCTCCCAGGCCTCCTGGGCTGCCTCCCAGGACTCGCGCAGCAGGGCATGGCGGGCCATCTCCTCCTTCAGCAGAGAGGCTGCCTTCTCCTCCATCTCCTCCGTGCAGCCCACATAGGCATCATCGAAAGTATCTGGAGCCAGGCCCAGGGGCAGGATGGGAACAGCCTGAGCCTATGGAGGTAAGAAAGAGAAGGGCCACACAGGAAAGGGTAGAAGTTCAGAGTACTGAACAGAGGTCCTGGTAGATCAGTTCAGAAACACAGAATCTCATTTCTACGCCCAAATAGCCACTGTATACAATTTGACAAGAGCCCAAGGGCTTAAATAACACAGGCATTGGAATTAGACAGACACGGGTTCAGATCCTGACTTTACCACCTACTGGCTGCGGGGTCTTGGGCAAGTCTCAATTCTTTTGGGCTTCAGGTTCTCCACCTGTAAATTGATACTTCCAACTCCACAGGGCTATTGTGACGATAGCATATAGGTATTCACTTCTGTACAACCTAAACGGGGTCATCTTGTCATCACAGAGGTTTCTGTACTCGGTGGGAAGTGGGCTAGCTGGCTTTGAAGCTCTGTTCTGGCTCTAAGATTCAGTGTGCAGGTGATATACAAATGTGCCGCCAGTATCCAATTAGCTGACTGCTCCCATCCTCAGACTCTCTTTCCCTCCCGTGAAGTTGCTCAACCACCACACCAAATCATTGTCAGCTCTGAGGCCCCCTCCTGCTTTAGAAGCCCTTATCCCCACCCCTGGAGCTGGGCGTGGGGAGGAGCCCAGGTCTGGGAGCGGATGCAAGAGGACAGTGCAGTGCTTTGCTCAGCCTGAGCCTGTGGTGGCAGATGGGAAGTGAGGATGAGGACGTTGGAGGCAGTTCCTAGGGAAGGATACCTGACGGAAGGAGGGCCACTGGAGAACCAGTGGGTGGAGATGTGAGTTCTGGAGTGGGAGTGAGGACCTGGGGATCCCTGCGAGGAGGGAGTTTGTTGAGAGGAAGAGGATTAAGAGGAGTGGGGTCCTACAGAACAGTACCTGGGAAAGATTTCTGAGGAGTCAGCCCCCCCAGTCCACTTCCTCAGGGTCTACCTCTCAAGTTTTCCTTTTGTGACAGGGGCTGGTACCCCCAGTTACCTGCCAGAGGGTGTGGAGGCTGAGGCAGCTGAAGGCGAGCAGCAGAACTGCCAGCATCATCTCTGAGGGAGACAGGAGAGAGAGGTCCGGATGGATGCCTGTGGGACCGGTGGCCGTGTAGTCTCGGCTTCAATGGGATGGGGAAAGGGACCTCGCACCCCTTCTCTGGTGTGAAGAAGATGGTCCAGGATCCCGGCCCCAGGCGGGGGTGTGAACAGGACCAAGGGCGGGCCTAGGGGAGTGAGGGAAGCCTTGGGTATTACCACCAGCAGCCCCCTCCTCCGTTGCCCCCCCTTCCCACCGCCCCAGCATAAGCTCTACCTCCAGGTCTCCGCTTCCCTGACCCTGACTCCCGGATGCCACCAAGCTCAGCGCTTTCTACCCGGAGAATTTTTTGCGATGATTAGGGTAGAGCCATTACTTGGCTCTACTTGGAGAGGGAAGGGGCCCGGGGCCGGAGACCCACCTGGAGATCGTGGAGGCCGAGAACGGGAAGGGGTGGTTTGGCCGGCGGGGGGCTACTGTCTGGGAGGGCACAGTGCTGTTCCCGGAATCCAGCCGATAAGCAAAGTCCCACGGCTAACTATAGCCCCCGAAGCGGTAACTCGACACCTCTCTTCCTCAACAACAGACACGGGTGGAGGGAGTGGGAGTGGCGAGGAAGGGGCTGAGCGGTGTGACTCCCCAACCCAAGGACTGTGAGTTCTTTCTCCAGGACACTTTCTGGCTCCAGGCAAGCCTAGGGTTGGGGGATGGAGCTAACGAGACTTGGCCTCTCCCTTGGGGGGCCCTGACACGGCCTTGCCAGGTCCCCAGACAACTAAGCCGCCGGCAGCCCCGCGAGGGTCCCGCCCACCAAGAGGTCACCACTTGGGCAGTCGCTGATTTGCATGCAATTTGCATATGGCCCACACGTTGTGTCTCGTGGCACCCAGCATCTGAGCAGCACCCCCTCTTTCTCTTTAGCCGGCTTCCCTGTCAGTAAGGTTAGATGAGATGCAGAGCTCTCTGTCTCAGATCTTCAGGGTCCAGCCCCCTCCCAAACCCTGACTCCCTGGACTTTTCAGACTCAGGTGACACAGTGTTTATAAACACTGACTGGCCTTTTCCCTTGCCTCCTGTGGGCCTGTCTATAAATAACCTGGCTCTGAGATTTGGATGTCCAATCAGAAGTAATGGGAGAAGGGGCCGCTGAAGAATCAGTAAGCAGTTCTGGGAAGAGCTTTCTGCCGGCCTGAACCACTGGGGGTGGGAGGGGTATGCACCCCACAGGGGCTAGATGAGTTAGGGGTCCTGACTGTCAGGATTTAAGAGATGCTGCCAGCTTCCTGCTGGGGCTGAGGTGGGCAGGGAGGTTAGACAGACTTACCCCAGGCTTCTATCCTGGTCTGGCTCATTAATTTAGCCTCATGCCTGTTCCGGATCTCCTCAGACTGCCAGCCAAATAATTTCTTTCACCTAGAATCCTGCTTTCTCAAAAAAAGCCTTCCTATAGACCAAAAAAGGAAGACAAACTGTGTGTCTGGGCTTGGGGTGGGTACAAGGTGGATAGAGTGGCATCCCAAAAAACCATAGTGCTTTTCAGGCTAACAGCTTCAAGGCAGTTTCATCTGCCCCCTTTGAAAGAGACTGGCCACCCCAAGGTCCCTAGATTAGAAAATCAGGAACCACTCTACCATTCACCATTACTGTGAAAAGCAACTTCTTGCCTGCATAGCCTGCATGCCTGAAGGGACTTGAGCGTTTATAGTTGCAGGCACAGAAGATACCATCTGAGACAGCGAGGCCTGCTGGGACAATCCTGGGACCAGATCTACTAGGATGATGCTTTGTCTTCTCTCCATCCTCTGGCTTTAGGGCATTGCTTTTCCCATCCCAAGACCTGGAACCCCAAGAAAGGCCCCAAAAGACAGTAAAATCTAGTCATTATATAGGGGTCCTGAGGGAGGCAGAAAGTCCTCCAAGATCACACAGCAAAGTAGTGCTGGAGCTGGGACCCGGACCCGGCTCCTTAATCTGGGCATCTCTCCTTGCATCTTAGGTGAGGCTCTGTGCTCACACGAAAACAAACAAAAACAAAAACAAACAAAAAACAAATGTAAGGAGATATTCTCTGAGATATTCTCAGGGGTGCTGAGCACAGGACCAATCCACTGGGGGAGGCGGCTGTTCCAGCCTGGATCCTCCGCGCCTCAGCCCACCTTCTCTCTGGCTCCAGGGATTCCCTTTTTTATGGGAAGAGCACTGGCCCAGGGCAGGCTGGGCAGAGGCTAGTGTTCCCGAGCCTTGAGGAGACATCCAGAAATAGATGGGGGAGTGTCACATTTCTGAGCAGCTGTGTGGGGGGAGGTACAATATAAAGGAGAAGCCTGCCCTCCCCTCCCCCAGTGGCCATGCAGGAGACCAACACCAGCTTCCCAGCCTTGGAGAAAGCCTAGGTAAGGGCCACACCATCCTCCTCCAGGGTACCGGGCAGGGTAAAAGTTTTCTTTAGGGGAAATTTCGGGTATTGATGGTGGAGTTTTAAGCGTCATTAGGAAAACTTTCAGGGAATCTTTTATCTTACTCTGTTTTATCTGTTTCTCAAGTTTCTGGAGGATGGAAGTCCCAAGGTCAGGGTGCTAGAATGGTTGGGTGAGGGCTCCCTTCCTGGATCCCAGCCCGTACCTTCTCACTGTATCCTCACATGGCAGAAGGTTAGGAAGCTCTGTTGGGTCTCTTTTATTAGAACACGCTCCACCCTCATGAACTAATCACCTCCTAAAGGCCCCACTCTCTAATACCATCACACCTAGCATTAGGATTCCAACATATACATTTTAGGAGAAACACAAACATTCAGAGCATAGCACCTTTGACAGAGAGGTGGGAGGCCATTGGAAAATATGGGGGCTCCTGGGGAGAGATCTGGAGTCACGTCCCCAGGAGGGGATGCTCAGCGAGGGCCTGGATGAGGAGAACGGACGAGCAGTGTCCTGAGTAGGTGAGGACGGAAGGGCAGCTCGGATATGAAAGGGCATTGCCCGGTGCCTCTACTTCGACTCCTAGACCTTCCTCATCACTCTGTCCCCCACCCCACTCCCCTCAAACACTAGTCATCTACCTGCTTGCAATGGTCTACATTGTTAGCTGCACCCAGAAAACCTCTCAGACCCTCAGCAAACATTCTGGGAGGCCTCATCTGGGCCTGGCCTTGGGCTGAGCTCTGGGGACACAGAATGGGTCATACCTGGTCCCTGCCTTCAAGGAACTCACAGGCCAGGAAGGCAGACAGACGCATAAGGGCAGCACAGTATGATTAAGACCGTGACAGAGGAATCGCAGGGTGATATAGGAGCTCAGAGGAGTCAGAGGGCTTCCTAGAGGAGGTGACCCCTGAGCTAAGCCTGGATAGCAGGAGAAGGGCATCCCCAGCAGATGGCAGAGCCACAGGGAGGGGAATAAGGGAGCCCTCCTCTGGAACTCTGCACTGTAGAAGTCGAGCAGGGGTAGTGGGGCATGTGGTTGAAGAGGTCGTGGAGGACCGGGTCACAGAGGGCCTCAAATGCCAGCATGAAGAGGTTAGATTCTGTCCTGAGGGACTCTGGCTTTGCTTGGGTCATGTGTCCGTCCATGTGCCAGGCACAATGACCAGAGCATTAGAGCACCCAGTTTGGGGTCACGTGTTCCCTCCATGGGGGTGCAAAGAGTGGGGGAAAGCCCCATATGAACCCATGGACTGGATTCTCCACGAGAAAGAGATGATATATTATAGAAGCTCAGACTTCTTGGGTGGATTCCAAGACAAGAGTTCAAATAGCTTTTTGCTGCCACATACTCTGCCCATTAGAATTCCATCCTGGTATCAGGGAGCAGTGTCTTGTGCTTTACACCCCACTGTGATGTATACTATATACTCTGCAATTCTATATACTCTGTACCTCCTCTGGTTAGCTCTTCATTTAAACCCCACTCCTGGTACACATGTGTTTCCATTAGCCTCTCTTGGTTCCTTTTATAACACACATCACATGTTACTTGAAATTACTCACTCCAGCTCCATGTCCACCTCAAAAAAACTTAAAGAAGAGGGATGTGGGTTTTGCTGTTGATGCTGCTATTCACAATTTTATCCTCAGTGCCTAACACATTACAGATGCTCAAGAATGTTTTGTTGAATAACTGAGTAAGCAAGTTTTGAGGAAAAGAAGATAACAAGTTCAGTTTGGGACATGTTGAATCTGATAAAAACTGCTGTTAACCCCATTGCCCAGGGAAGCTTACGCCTCAATTTAAATTGTACAATGGCAATTATAGGATCTTAGATTTGGAGACTCACAAAATTATACACACATAAAATCCCAGTGTCTTAGAGTCAACAAACTATCAAAACTTAGACTTCCCCAAGAGGGATTACGGAGCAGGGATACTTAACCTAAGTGAGACTGGGACAGAGGCATAAGCACCTGAAATTTGTGTAATGTTTGTGTGAAGGGGCAGATGTCCGCTTTCTGAGGAGAGGTTTCAGCTTTCATCAGGTTCCCAACGATAAACAACCACTGACTATATTACCATTTGTGTAAAAGAAGGAAAACAGAAATACCTGTGAATTTGCTTGTATATGCATCTCTCTGGAAAGATACACAAAAAATGGGAACATTGTTGCCTCTGGGGAGATGAAGTTGGGGTTGGGGAATTAGTGAGAGAAAGATGTTTCACTATTTGTCTTTTGGACTATTGAAATTTTGAACAATGGAAATGTACCACCTTTTAGAAAATTAAGTTAAAACTTTAAAGTATTAAAAATTAAAGTTATGATTGATCCTATTAGTGAAAAGATATGTAAATTAAAAGTAGATACCACTTATGCCCACCAGTCACATGAAAATTAAAGAGATTAATGATATCCAGTGTTGGCAAAGATGTGGAGAAAAGCACACTCCCATTCATTGTTGGTGGGAGGCAATTTGGCAGTGCCTATCAAAATAAAAAATGTTCATATCCTTAAAATAGTATTATTTTGATCTTTTGTATAAAAATATACACACAAGTAGACAACTATTTATATACATGGATGTTCATTGCAGTATTATGAGTAATATAAAAAACTTAGAAAAAAAACTTGTGTCCATTAATAAAGAAATGATTAAGTTATGATTTAACTATATGTACTATGACATACCATGCTGCCATTATAATAAACAAGGTATATATGTCTGTGCGACATGGAATGAAGTCTATGATATATTGTTTCCTGAAAAGAAAGGTTATAGAATATGTGTAAGCATGTTCCCTTTTTCTTTTTGAATAAAATAATCAAAAAATGAAAACAGGCTGTATACAGAAAACTGTGTATGTCTATTTAGACATATTAAATATATGTATAAAACTATGTATGTACATTTAAATATTATACTGTTTGTATCTGCATAGAAAAAGGTCCTGAAGGATGGATGGGTGCCATGGTCACAGGCCACCCCCGTCCCTACTGGCAGGCATGGGTAAGAGTGAGCAGGGGGGTGCAGCGGGACAGAAAGAAGAAAGGAAACTTGGGCTCTGTGTTTCACTCATGCACTTTTTTGCTCACAACAAGCATGCATTCCTTTGTGATAAAATAAACAGAAAAGAAACAGCAGCTCTGACTTAGAAACTGTGTGTTCCAATCCTGACCCAAAGCTGGGACACTTTCTCCTTGGTGCTGCTTCAGGCCCCAGTGTGCCCACCCACAGGGTATAGGAGGCTGTGGTTCCCTCCTACTTCCCCGGGGGAAGCAGGTTCCCTGTGTCCTCGCCTCCTCCGAATCCCTCTTCCCTGACTGCCTGGGAGTCCACATCTGTCCCTGCCCTGGAAGCAGTTGGGGGCTCGGGGAAGAGGGCTCAGCTTGCTTCAGGACTGGACGGAGAAGGGAAGACCTCTGGCTCTCCAAGCCCTGCTTTCAGCCTGTCCCTGGAGTCCTGCTGTGGCCCCAGCGGCTGACCACTCCTGGATCTGCCCTGTTGCAGCCTCACGTTCTCCATGAGGGGCAGCTGAGATCTCTCACCATGTCAGTCTTTCCAACAATCCCACACTGCAAGCTGTGCCGCGCTAGACAAAATGTCTCTTACTCTTTACATCCTAAGAGCTCCTATCTCCAATACCTTTGCTTTTCTCATTCCTGCTATCCCAAACTCCTTTCCCACCCAAAACTCCAATCTTTTCTCTCCCAGTCTCCACTGATTGAAGCCTTATGCTCCTATTCATCCTACAAGACCCTGTTCACATGTCACCTCTGCCAGGAAATCTCTCATGTTGCTCTCTCTTTCTTCTGAGCCTCCATTTCTATGTTGTGACTCTGTGCCAAGCACTCGGAGTGGCACAGACTAGGTGTCAATAAATGTTTATTAAACTGTATAGATTAACATTCTCATTTTCCAGATGAGAAAACTGAGACCCAAAGAGAGACAGTAACTTACCCAGGGTCACCTCCACCATGCAGACTTCTGCCATGATGTCTCTGCTGTTTGTGTCCATGAGCCTCATGGAAGCACTTCAGGTATGGTCATCCCCTGCTGTCCCCATGCCAGCAGGGAGCTGAGCTGTCAGCTTCTCTGAACTCTGGAAGGAGGAGCAGAGGGAGGAGAGAATGTCTTATGCTTCCCTTGGGGTTCACTGAGGGGACAGCCTCAACCCCCCGGTCTCTGGGTATTGGCAGTTAATAGTTCCCAACCCCCCTTCCTCTCCAGGTGTGTTTGGGGCCTTTACAGTGTCTTTCTCAGCTCAGTGGAGGGGAAAGCTGGATAGGCTCCCATTCTTGGAGGACCCATCCTCTCGGTCTTTTCTGCTCCCTCTCCCTCAGGCCCAGAGCCACCCCATCACACGACGAGAACTTTTCTCTCAAGAAAGGCCCCTGGACATGGCCCCAGCCTCCTTTGATGACCAGTACACTGGCTGTGCAGCAGCCATGACAGCTGCTCTCCCAGATCTCAATCGCACGGAGTTCCAGGCCAACAAAGTGTATGCTGATGGGTGGGTGCTGGCAAGCAGCCAATGGCAGGAGCGCCAAGCCTGGGGGTCAGTGTGGGGCCTTAGCCCCACCCGGCTGCCCCCGCTGCCCCCCGGCTTCCGAAATGAGCACGGGGTAGCCATCCTGGCCTACACAGCCAACACACCCCTGCACAAGGAGTTCAACGCAGCTGTGCGCGAGGCAGGCCGCACCCGAACCCACTACCTCCACCACTTCTCCTTCAAGACGCTCCATTTTCTGCTGACCGAGGCCCTGCAGCTGCTGAGCAAGGCCCAGCGTTCGCCCCAGTGCCACCAGGTGTTCCGAGGGGTGCATGGCCTGCGCTTCCGGCCAGCAGGGCCCGGGGCCACTGTCCGGCTGGGAGGCTTTGCCTCCGCGTCCCTGCAGAATGTTGCAGCCCAGCAGTTTGGTGAGGAAACCTTCTTTGGCATCTGGACCTGTCTCGGGACCCCCATCAAGGGCTACTCCTTCTTTCCTGGGGAGGAGGAAGTGCTGATACCCCCCTTTGAGACCTTCCAGGTAATCAACACCAGCAGACCAGCCCAGGGCCCCTCCCGCATCTACCTCCGGGCCCTGGGCAAGCAAAGCACGTACAACTGCGAGTACATCAAAGGTGAGCGTGGCATGTGCAGGTCAGCACCTGTGCAGAAGAGGGGCTTCCCACCCGATTTTCAGGGGATACATACAGAAACATTAAAACAAACCAATAGTGAAAGGGATGCAGCCCTGTCCTTTCACCCCTCCACCCTTTCATCTAAGGCAGCAGTTCTCAACCTTCCTAATGCCGCGACCTCTTAATACAGTTCCTCATGTTGTAGTGACCCCCAACCATAAAATTATTTTCGTTGCTACTCTATAACTGTAATTTTGCTACTGTTATGAATCGTAATGTAAATATCTTTTTGTTTTCCGATGGTCTTAGGCGACCCCTGTGAAAGGGTCATTCGACCCCCAAAGGGGTCGTGACCCACAGGTTGAGAACCGCTGCTCTAAGGGGAGACAAAACCTTTGACGTAGGACGCTTCTTGTCCCTGGTGGTGTCTGAGCCAGAGCTGGCCCCTTGCCTGCTGGGAGGCTGAAGAAGGTTTCCTGACCAAAGCAGGAGTCTTTGGCCATTTGAGGGCCAAAAAGCCCTGGTGAGGCTTTTCTGGCTGGAAGCTGAAAGGAAATTAATTTCAAGCCACAGTACTAACACTCAGACAGTTGTTGCCAGAAATGAGAAGAGCCCAACTTCAGTTTCTGAGAGGAGTGTGTTTATTTGACTGAACAGAAATCCTGTGCTGTCATGTGTGGGCGTGGGAGCAGGGGTGGGGGTGGCAAGACGGCAGGTGGGTGCTGTGCCTCCAAGTTCCAGTTCAGGCTGTGGCTGGTCTCGGATACTCTTCCTGTCCATTCCCCCAGGAATGGCCAGAGGAGGAATCGTGAAGACGGGCCCAGTTTCCTAATCTCTGACAGGGCCGTGGGCTGCTGGTCCTGGCTAAGTGATTCCCAGGGGCTGGTGAGGCCTGGTTTTCATAGTTAGAGGCAGGTATTGACTGGAACTGGGGACCGCATCCAACGTAGGAGAAGGGCCAGTGTGACTTCAGATCCCATTCTGGACAGCATTACAAGTGTGCATGAGTTGACAGAAGGCGAGGAAGACGTGCAAAGAACATAAACTAGCTCCTCCTTGGCTGGGACAGGTGTGGAGAGGGAGAGGTGGCTGTGACGGGGAGGTGAAGTTACACGGCCAAGGGAGCAGGAGGAGGGCCTGGAACAGGCCCTGGCTTTGAAGGCTGGCTTCCTTCTGGCCCCACTGCTCGTGGATTAAGTCACATCTAGGCAAGGAAGGTCTCACCACAAGGAAGCAGAATTGGGGAAAATGTACCAGCTTTTACTAGAGCAAGTAGGGGAGGGCCCCCAGGGCCTTTTCCCATCCTGAGAGCTATTGACTCTTTGATTCTTTACTGTTTCTTCCCTACAGACAAGCAGTGCAAGTCTGGGCCCTGCCGTCTGGATAACTCAGGTAAGAGCTACAGGCATCTGTGACAGGGGATCCTTTCTGGGATGAGAAGGCTGCCCTGGGATTGGACCCATTACCCAGATGTCCACCTTATAAGGAAAACAACCCTCTTTTAATAATAAAAGTAAACCCTCTAAAGCAGACACATGTGAGGGTTGCTAACCTTCCCCAAGGGGTGTATTTCTATGTATGGGGTGGTAGTTGGGTGAACTGACACACCTTCCCCCCAGTCTGGGGCTGACTGTCCCTCCCAGGAGACAGCTGATCAGGCCCAGAGAGATCCAGGTTGCACAGGGGTGACAGAGGGGAGGGCTGCTTCCACAGAGTCCTCCCCGGGGCCTTGTCTTCCTTCAGCGGCAAAAACTTCTGCCTCTGTTATTGCCCTTAGAGCTCCCTCAGACCACCTTCCAAGGCAGAGGCCAGACCTCAGGTACTGGAGACCTGGGTTCTAGTCCAGGCTCTGTCTTAACTTTCTCTGTGACCAACCATTGACTCTCTGGGCCTCAGTTTCCTTATCTGTATAAGCCAATTGGACTAGATGAACGCCAGATCACTTGCAGCCATAACTTCTTTTTCCTTGAACGTCTGCTGTGCCAGGGCCTACCTGAACCAGCACTTCTCTAGGTGGGAACAGGCTACTCCCAGGGAAGAAGCTGCAGCCGCCCCGCCCCTGTGGTCCTTCCTCTGGCCCTCTGGGCTCTGTGAACAGTGGGCAAGGAGCAGCCCAGCCTCCACCGTGTTCCCCCCATTCTTCACGACATGGCGCCACTATGGTGTGTCATAGTTCCAGGAACACCGTGCCATGAATCCTCACCATGGCCTAGTGGTGGAGGCACTGTCATCACCCCTATTCTACAGATGAGAGAACCAAGGCACAGAGAAATTAAACAACCAACCCTACACCGCACAGCTGGTAAAGGGCCTGGCCCTAGACCAAACTCTGAACCACCACACCAGGCCGGCCCCCACCTGCCTAGACACCATCTCATGTTATGCTTAGTGAACAATAATCTTTTAGAAGGAGGCAGAACAGGAAGTGTTTATTCTACTATATAGTAAAGCGAGACGCAGAGACAGAAGTGACTTGCCTGAGGTGACAGAGTTAGTGGCAGAGCCAGGGTGAGAAGTCAGGTCTCCAGCCTCCAACCCACCTCTTTGAGCTCTGATAATGAACTTTCAAGCACTGGAAAAGTTTAAGATCCCTGCCACCCCCCGGCCCACCAGCACCTTTCCTACCAGGGTTTGGGCAGAGGAGCCAAGGTCAGCATATTAGATCCCTTTCAGATCTCTACCCGTGTTTCAGCCCACCCTGCAATGCCTCATTTGTATCCACAGGAAGCAGAGGGATAGATCTAATAACCTCTGGAAGGGGTACTGGGGCTCTCCTGGTTTCTTCATCTTTGTCTACTTTTCTCCCTAAATTCTTGCTCTTTATTTCTGTCTCCCATCGCACTGTGCGCATCAGTCTTTCCAGCTCACTCTGCTTGTTTCTCTTCGTCCTGTTTCTTCTTCTTTTTTTAAAGATTTTATTGAGGAATTGAAGCAGGGGAACAGTGTTGGGGAATTGGGGAAGGGGACAAGCCAAGTTGTTGTTCTTCAATCTTAGTTGCAGGTGGGCGTAGCCACCATTCCACACTGGAATCGAACCAGCAGCCTTGTTAAGAGCACGTGCCCTATCCACTGAGCCATCCGGGCTGCAGCTCAGCTCAAGGTGCCAAGTTCAGTCTTAGTTGCGGGCGGGCGTAGCCCACTATCAAACAGGCAACCTTGTTGTTACACCAGCTGAGCCATCCTGCCGCCTGTTGGCAACTCAGCAACAGCTCAGCTCAGCCGCAGTGTCACTGGCCCATGTGGGAATCGAACCGGCGGCCCTGTTGCTCAGAGCTCATGCTCTTAAGCCAACTCTTAACCAACTGAGCCACTCGGCCGACCCCGTTTCTTCTTTGTGTACCTCACTTCACCCCTAAATCTGTCTCTCCGCCTCTGTTTCCCTACAGCCATGGGTCAGGACCCCCTTTCTGCAGCCTGGTACCTTCCATTGCTGCTCTGGTTCCTTGTCGGCGGAGCCTTTACAGAGAGTCCAGGACTCCTCTGATCATCAGACCTTGAAGAGCCCTGCCTGCCACCTCTGCCCAGCACGAGGATGTCAGCCATGTGTATGCTTTAAGTGTCAAGATCCATGGAAACTCCATCTGCCGGGAACTCTGGGACCTTCTCTGACAGCTGCCAGGCCTGCTGGTGGAGAAATAGAATTCTGGAACCTAGCTCAGGGCTCTAGAAGTGAGACACTGAAGAGAGGTATGGAAACTGCAGGACAAGCAACAACTCACTTGGAGGTAGAAGAGTAAACTAGTTTGGAGGTGGGGGAGTGACTGAGGAGAAAAGCACTTGGCCATGGTACTTGATGGTGTGACTCAAATGCCTCACAGGTGCATCTGGAAAGCTCCTATTCACTTCTCCAGGAAGCCTTCTCTGACCTCCCCCACCCTGCTGGGTTAGGGCCCTGCCTTTGTGCTCCCACAGGTCCTGCGGTCTTCTCTACACCACGTGTCCATGTCTGTCACCCATGTCAGACTGTGAGCTTCCTGGAGGCAGGGACTGGGTCAGAGGTACAGAGGTGGTGCCAGGAAATGTGTGAAGGTCAAAAAGGAACAAATACCTTGTGAATGGCTGGTCCTCGCACTGCCCCTACCTTGGTCACTTTCAAGCTCCCTGAAGTTCAGTGTGTGGGAATGGGGTGGACCGGAGTTAACCCCAGAGGGAATACAGCAGCAGAATGGCAGAGAGCGTTAGGTCCTCTGCCAGGGTTGACTCTCAGTCATTTTGTCAGCCAAGATGTAATTTCTGTTCTGATCCATGAGTCCTAAGGTTTCTGTTTCTAGAGAGACAAACCTGGATCCCCGTCTCCCACCACCATGGGCCCCAAGGGTAAGACAGGACACTGAGGAGGTGCCAGGCACACACTTACTTTATAATGAGTTGGGGCTTTAGGGCCAAATTCCTGTGTGGCCTCCTGCTCTGGAAACTAGACCATGAATCTGAATCCCTAACCCCCTTCCTTAAGCCCCTAGGCAGGGATGGGTAAGACCAAGTCTCTGTAACAGCAGCTGCCGAGGAAGGAAAAGGAGGCAGGAAATGTGGCAGTTCTGTTTCTCATATTGTAACTTGCACTCTCCCCACTGAAAGCTCTAGCATTCAGTATTGAAGTTCAGTTCTGTCCCTCTAGGACTACACTTTGATCTTGACTCTTCTTAGAGTTCCTTCTCTGTAGGAACTAGGGCCGTGGCAAGCTCTGAATTTCCCTTAGAGGTTAGGGTACGTAGACAACAAGTGCTCCCTCATGGTTTGTGAAGTCAGCAGTGTGGATCCCAGCAGGGATCAGTAGAGACAATAGGGAGAGAGTGGGCAGCCTATCCGAAGGCCAACAAGCACCTGGCCCTCCCATCCCTGTTTGGGGGTGCTGTAGCCGCAGCAGACTCCTAGGACTCACAGGGCCTGCATCAGCACCAGGAGGCTCATGACCACGGCCATGGAGAAGAAGATACCCAGGAAGAAACGGTCCATCACACGGGCCAGGCGCTTCCAGTCCTCATGTCGGCGCTGGGCAGCCCGGTGGCTGCGGAAGGTGTTGGCAATGGTGGCTACGTGGTGCAGTAGGGATTCCTGATGGCACAGACACCGGGGCTCATGGCAAGGACCTGCTGGGGGGCCAGCCCCTCCCTCGGGAAGCTGGGGACTGGGAGGTGACTTGGGTGATCTAGACTGCCCACAGGGCTCTCCTCGTTCCCGTACACACAAGCCCCGTGCCAGGTGTCCCAGCAAAAACGCCCGAGCCCAGGCTGGCACCGGATGGGCACTGGGACCACAGTAATGCAGGTTCATGACAAGGATGGTGAGCGCCGTGGAAAAGGTGACCATGGTCATGGTGGCCATGTAGTACTTCCCTGAAAGAGAGAGAATGAGCTGGGACCCAAAACAAGAATTCAGGGGGCCTGAGCCTCCCAGCCGCCTCAGCACCAACAGGAATACGCTCACCCACCATGAGGTTCTCAGGACCTGCCAAGGCCAGTGGATGAGAGGAAGGTCTTCCCAGTCTGCATTCCTACAAGGGGGTTCTTAGAAGCTCCCTGCTCCCTGCTGGAGGCTACACTTACCCACAACCCAAGAAAGTCACCCTCTCAAATGGTATGGCCATGACCTGGGGCAAGTGATAACAACAGAACCTATTTCGTAGGTCTGGGGGATGCTTCTCTGAGTTAATAAACAAGTGCTTAGGAGAGTGCCTGGCACAGAGTGAGCCCTCAATATATTTTGTCTGTTATTACAACCCTGGGGACATCAATCTTCCTCCATCAAGTCCTTGAGAAAAGAACTGACTCCTTCCTCCGCCCCTTCCAGCGAGGGGACCATGTCCTCCCTAGAAGGGGCCTACTCCTTTCCCTCAATCTTGGAATGAGGCATGCTCCCAGGACGCCCCC